ATTTGTATTCATGAAATGCATGAAGTTTGTATACCTTAAGCAAAAGGTTGAAAGGTAAGTAAATAGAATAAAAATTATTGAAAAACTTTAAAAATCCCTTCTGATTTTGTAACAATGTACTAAATAAAGTTTAGTTTAAATTAGTCTTTCAGTTTCCTTCCATTTCTCCAATCTTTTCTGTGAGGGAAATCAACAGTGTATCAACACAGGAACACTTGATAGTTTAAATTCAGAAAAGCCAGCAATCAGTTCTTGTGATGTTTCTAGTCTCTCAACATTACAATAAAATCATTGTGATGTGCATGATGACCCCTTCAGATATTGTTAGTTGTTTCTTAAGTTGGAACAGCCTCACATTTTGTTCTTGACACAGACTATCTCTGTGTCTCCTTCTGGTTCTTTGTGTGTGTTTCTCTGGGTGTCTCTGTGAATGAAAGGCAGAACAATGATAGTTACAGATATAACAAGTTGCTGTAGTGTATTCTAGGGTCCCAACCTATATTTTCAATGAACCTGACATCAGTTTGCAATAACTGAAAAAAGAAAAAAAACTGCTAAACAATGAGGGTCTTGTCACTCTTTAATTTTGTTTAAGTAAAACTACTTCCTTTATGAATCAGTTTTTTTAGAAGTGCAGCCCCATGATTAATACACTTTTTGAAAAATATAGAACTCAAATACTTGTGTTACTGTGTCTTTAGACTGCCCCGAGTTTCCTATTTCCTCAAGTTTGGCTGTGCTTCTTAAGAGCTCAGTAATGTGGGCAGAGAAGGCAGGACTTCTTGACAGGTACGCTGCCCTGCATGGCAGGCCAGTAGTATGACATCAACCTGTAAACCAGCTGTGGTCAATACTGGACAAGACCTGCTCTCAAGGCCTGGAGACAGAGCAAGGGCCTACCATTCCCTGCCTCTGGGAAAATACAGAATTGGAGCATGTATTTTCTCACTGAGGATATCTGATGAGAAAATAAAATATGGCAATAATTTCTCAAATTATATCTTTTTGTTGAATGTATAATATATTCAGATGAATTAAATGTCAAACAATATGTAAAAGCCAATACAAAATAGTATCTATCCCCATTCAATATAATTCTCACTCAAAAAAAAATAAATATTAATGCACACAATGAGCTTAGAAGTTAATGCCATCTATGAGATAAAAGTTATCTGTAATAACTTTCCATTTCATAGCATATTTCAAAAATCATTTATTAATATTTCACCTGTTTTAAATTATCATTTTTAATATTTTATTTGAGTTATATAAGTTTCATATATGTCCTTTATACCATTTTAGGAACATAATGACACTCCTCCCCATACCCACCCACATTCTAGCTCTTCCTCCCTCTCAGATTCCCACTGTTAATTTTTACAATGATAATTATTAAGTACACTTAATGATCATATAGTTATCCCTACCCTAAGTAAAAGAGTTCAACATACAGTATGAAGAGAAAACAAAACAAAATAAAACACTTTTCTTCAATTAAAGAGACAAGGGCTATAAACAATAATTGATTCTCAAAATGTCTATTTCACTGTAATACATTACATTTCAGGTACTCTGTTAGTTACCTCAGATCAAGAAAAGCATATTATACCTGTCTTTTTTGGACTGGCTTATTTCATTAAGTATACTTGTTTCTAATTGTGACCATATTATTGCAAAGGACAGGATTTCATTTTTTTTACAGCTGAGTAGTACCCCATAGTCTAAATGTACTATAATTTTTTTTATCCAGTCAACAGTTGATGAACATCTGGGTTAATTCCATATCATAGCTATCTTGAATTGTGCTTCAATGAACATGGGGGTACAGATAACTTCATTGTGCTGACTTCTTTTGGTTTGGGTAAGTTCCCAGGATGGAGTTGGCTGGATCATATGGTAGGTCTATATTCAGATTTCTGAGGTATCTCCATTCTATATTCCACAGTGGTTGTACCATAAACTATAGTTTTTTTTTTTTTTTTCCTTCTCTATACTGATGTAAAGTCTGTTTCTACTCTTATATAGAGTAGAAAACGGCTTCTTGGCTGTTACCGTGGCTCAATAGGCTAATCCTCCACCTTGCAGCGCCGGCACACCAGGTTCTAGTCCCGGTCGGGGCGCCGGATTCTATCCCGGTTGCCCCTCTTCCAGGCCAGCTCTCTGCTATGGCCTGGGAGTGCAGTGGAGGATGGCCCAAGTGCTTGGGCCCTGCACCTGCATGGGAGACCAGGAGAAGTACCTGGCTCCAGGCTTCCGATCAGAGCGATGTGCCAGCTGCAGTGTGCCAGCCGTGGCAGCCATTGGAGGGTGAACCAACGGCAAAAAGGAAGACCTTTCTCTCTGTCTCTCTCTCTGTCTCACTGTCCACTCTGCCTGTCAAAAAAAAAAAAAAAAAAGGCTTCCCTTATTTTACTGAATACATGAAATGTGTTCTCTATATATAATAAAAAATAAAAACAGAAAAATGCTGCAGTGAATAAGCTTTTACATATTTCCACATAATTATTAAACTTTTAAAATTTATAATTACTAGACAAAAGATCATGTACAATGCATCACAATTTTCACAGATATTGCCAAACTGCTTTTCATTGTCTATAATAAAGAGGGATGTTTGCTTCAAAACACTCCTGTTATTAATCTTTTCAACTGTGGTGGGTAAAATTGTATTATCTATGATTTAATTTGTGTTTTCACTTTTTTAAATTTTATTTAAGGTGTACATATTTCATGTATTTCATATAAACAGATTTAGGAGCATAGTGATACTTTCTACCCTACTCTCTCTCCTGCCCTTGCTCCAATAATTCTTCTTCCTTCCTCTACTATATCCAGTCTTAATTTTTACAAAGATCTATTTTCACCTTATTTAATGGTCATAAGGTAAATGCTACAATAAATAAAAGAGTTTAATAAATAGTATTAAAAAAGAAAACTGTTCCTCAACAGTAGAGACAAAGGCTTTAAAAAATTCATTGAATCTCAAAATGTTCATTTCACTCCAACATCACATTTTAGGTATTGTGTTAGTTAACATATGATATCTGTCTTTTGGAGACTGGCTTATTTCACTAAGTATAATGATTTCCAGGTGTATCCATTTTGTTGCAAAATTAATCATTTCAGTTTTGTTTATAGCTGAGTAGTACTACATAGTGTAAATATGTCATAATTTTACTATTTAGTCATCAGCTGATGGACATTTAGGTTGATTTTATACCTTAGCTATTGTGAATTGAGCTGCAGTTAATATGGGGATACTGATAACTCTTTCATATGCTGATTTCTTTTCCTTTGTGTAAATACCCAGGAGAGAGATGGTTGGGTCATACAGTAGGTCTATATTGATTTGTAAGGTATCTCCATACTGTCTGCCACAGCAGTTGCACCAGTACATCCCACCAACATTGAATAGGGCACCTTTTTCCTCATATTCTTGCCAGCATTGTTTGTTAATTTCTTTATGAGAGGCATCCTAACTGGTGTGAGGTGAAACTTCATTGTGGATTTGATTTGCATTTCCCTGACGACTAGTGATCCTAAGTAGTTTTTCCAGTGTCTGTTGACTATTTGAATTTCCTACCTTGATAAATGCCTCTTCAAGTCCTTTGCCCATTTCTTAACTGAATTGCTTTTTGTGTTGTTGAATTCCTTGAGCTCTTTGGAGATACTAGCTGTTAATCCTTTATCAATTGCATAGCTTGCAAATATTTTCTCCCATTCTGTCAGTTGCCTCTTCACTTTGCCTTGTGTTCCCTTTGCAGTGCAGAAGCTTCTCAGCTTGTTGTAATCTCATTTGTCAATGTTGGCTTTGATTAACTGTGCTTCTATGGTCTTTTCTAAGAAGACTTTGCCTATAATCTGCTTTTCTTGAAAAGAAAACCTGACCATCTTTTCCAATGATGAAGAGTTACTATTATTAGTTTTCTTATTTATTTGTGAGTTAACAGTAGAAACACTTAATATTTATTCCATCTGGTATAGCTTTGTTATACATCAAGAGTATATATATATATATATATATATATCCAGTCAACAGTTGATGACTATTATATATATATATATATCAAATAAATAGTCCTTTCACATTGACAGGGAATGAATAAACATAAATTTTTACTTCATGACTTCTCAGTTGAATTACAAGAGAAAAGCCTTTCCTCATCCAATGCTTTTTTCATGTTTCGTATTTTTATTATTTTATATTTTAACTTTAAATTTCTGTATCTATTAACAATGGTCTTTGCCTATAGTAGGAAATATGGATCCAAGATTAATGTTTCCAGATGTGTAGTAGAATTGTGTGCATTGTTTATGAATTTACATGATTCCTTCTGTTTGTGGCACGCACATTTCAAAAAATACTAAATTCTGCCTTTCTCTCTCTCTCTACTTCTCTCTGTAACTTTCAAATAAATAAATTAAATATTTTAAAAATACTAAATTTCTATGTTTAATTTAGATTTGTTTCTAGATTACTTGTGTGTTTCTTTATCTTCTTTTCTTTATAAATATACATTTTATGCTTTTACTTTATATAATATTGTGAGAAGTAAACATTTGGCTCATTTTCAAAGAACTGTGGTTAGCTTTGAGTTGGCAAGTAGCTAGCATAACAGCTTGCAGACAAGCAGCTATAGTTAAATGCACCTGAATGTTCTTAGGCAAACAGGATGTTAGTGGCCAAAACATCTGAGACAAACCCATAGTACTTGGCCAATGGGGAAATGGGAGGGGGCTTCCTGCTAGAAAATAAACTGCTTGTTTGAAACCCCTGGGTGTGTTGTCCCACCAGGCACACCACCAAGTCAGGCTGTTCCACCAGGCACCCAATCTGACAAGATCATTTGAAAACCTCTTTTCCTGAACTTTCTGTGTCTGCGTCCATACTTTCAGTGGATGGGTGAGGCTGTTTCTCACAATATGTTTCCCCAAGTGCTCTTATTTCTTTGATTTTTTCCATGTAAAATTTAAAAAATCATTCTAGTTAAAAAGAATCCATGTTTCTGTCTGAACTGTCTCCAGTCAGAGCAGAACTGCTTGGATTCCTCACTCACGCCCTCTTGGGAGATAGTCTGGCTGCGGAATACCTTATATTGCACCTCATCTCTACAGTATATACAAGAAGAGATGTTCTTCCTCTAGGAAAATTTACAGTTAACCTGAGTGGTTGCCCACGGAACAGCACCTTCACAGAACACTTATATCGAATTATTCAACACCTTGTTCCAGCGTCTTTTCGCCTACAGATGACGATAGAGAACATGAACCATTTGAAGTTCATCCCCCACAAAGACTACGCGGCCAATCGCTTGGTCAGTGGACTCCTGCAGCTGCCCAGCAACACCTCCCTCGTCATTGACGAGACGCTCCTGAAGCAGGGTCAGCTGGACAGCCCAGGGGTCCACAACGTGACTGCCCTGAGCAAGCTCATAACCTGGCAGAAGGTGGATTACGACTTCAGCTACCACCAGATGGAGTTCCCTTGCAACATCAACGTTGTCATCACCTCGGAAGGGCGCTCCCTCCTCCCGGCCGACTGCCAGGTCCACTTGCAGCCCCAGCTCGTCCCACCCAACGTGGAGGAGCACATGAGCAGCCTGCTCGCCGGCCTGCTGCCCTCGGCGCTCAGCAGGTTCCGCGTCTACCTGACCCTGCTGAGGTTCCTGGATTACAGCATCTCCGACGACGTGACCAAGGCAGTGGAAGACGACTTCGTGGAAAGGCGCAAGAACGACCCTCAGAGCATCACCGCCGACGACCTGCACCAGCTGCTCGTGGTGGCCAGGTTTCTGTCGCTCAGCGCCGGTCGGACAACTCTGTCGCGAGAACGGTGGCTCAGAGCAAAGCAGCTGGAGTCGTTAAGGAGACACAGGCTTCAGCAGCAGAAGTGTGTGAATGGAACGAACTGTAACGACCTGACACCTCTGAGGCGGCGGGCGGATCAGAGCCACGTGATTGCAGAATTCAAATGCCATTTATACTACATCGTTTTATAGACAATTTCTATCAGAAACCAATGACTTTTCTTGAAATCAAGCCTGGTAACATCCGAAGTTTATATGATATTCAGTTAGGGCTTTTACCTTACTGATTTTATGGAGCTTTTGAAGTTTGTTTTATAATTATATAAATTAGTAACAATGTACAAAAACATATTTGATACTGAACATTTAATATTGATAACATTGTTGATTATCCCATTTCCTGAGCTCCAGCTAAGTCACAGGCCAAACTTTGTTGAATTGCTAATGTTAACTTCATTTGAAGATTGTTGCAATTAGAGGTTAGAGGACTCTGCAATTAACGGTGGTTTGTTCAGGTCTGGGTCTAGTGTGCGATTGTCCTTGCCGCCGACCCACACAGCTGGCAGAAACGCTGGGCTCCGGCAACTCTCTCCACTTAGTGGACAGGCTCGGGTCTGGGGGCATCACACGTAACAGTGCCTCCCAGGCTTTTGGACGTCATGAACCAGAAATCTTTCCAAAAACTTATGGGATAGGGTTGCCAATTTATTTTGCCAAGTAATCAGAAATAAATCACTGTATTATCACTTTTTTTCATAAAAGGATAATCTCAGAGTCCTTTCAGTGGAATAAATTTAGCTTTTTGAAAAGCACCTGTCCTCACTGTTCTCATTGGATCCCAGTGGATTGAGAACCCCTGACGGGACTCACCTGAGGGACTGCTGCCCTGCAGTTGTGCCCAAATATGAAATAAGCAAAATAGTAAACTTCGGGGAGAAAAAGATTATAAATCGCAATTCCCTGAGTTTTGAGCTTTTTAGGTTTATCAGTTACTTTCAAATGCATTAGATCAAACTAACGTCTGCTGTTCCGGCAAAGGCCTGAGAAAACTACAAGTAGTTTTCCAGAGACCACCTAACAACTCGAATACTCAAACTTTTATAGGAACAAAAATTTTTCCGGTAGCTGGAGAGCAAACTGATACACTGTGTAGTGTGACTATGGCGACAAGAGTCGAGGCTTAGGATGTTGCTTTTCTAAAGCTGTCAGTGGTACACGAGGACTTCCGTTTAGTCAGTAACTTACCTAGTTGGAACCAGATCCAGTGATCCCTTACATTTTTTCTGTGAGGCCTAAGTTGACATTGTGAACCACGGAAATGGAGTCAGCCTTGGAAATTCAAGGGATCTGAACGCCTGGTGAAGGGAAGTAAAAATTCATAGTTCAACTTTTCTTAAAGACAAATCTATTTTTATAAACTAATGTAAATAATGTTTATATTAGAATTCTAAATGGTTTTCATTTTTATAACTGGTAGACTAGACCTTCCTTAAACTTTTAGAAATAAAGTGCCCACTGGATTTGTGATAATACATTTTCTTTGTCCTAGAACAAAGTAGACAAGTTACCGTGAGTCTAATTGTGCCAATGTAAACTGTAATTTACCAAAGAGAAATACACAATTTGCTTGGTCTTGCAGAAAAGTTCCTTTAAGAGAACCCTCTGTCCAATAAATAAAACTTCCCAAATTAAAAAAAAAAAAAGAATCCATGTTTCATTTTTATCAAGATACAGTTAAATTTTAACTATGGTGAATGTAGTTCATAATGTTAAGAGTATTATCTCATATTACAATATGCCACTTATTTTACTTATTTTGAGGCCAATAAGCACAATAATTTAAAAATTACTTCATATGAAACATAGTTATGTTAAAGTTTTATACCTAGTTGTTATGGTTTGAGAAGAACTTGGCTCCCCAAACTCATGCAGATTTTAACATGTGAAGTTGATTGTTAAGGGTTCATGGATTAAGGTGGTGACTTGATCCAATCATGCTGTCTGACAGGTGGGTCTGTGGGTGGCCATTAGGTCATCAGGAGCTTGCACTCAGAGGCAAGTTATCAGGACAGTGTTGGTTAACACAAGTTTGGCACAGCTCCTCTCTCAGCTTCCTGGCTTGCAGTTGAATCTCTCCTCCACACCTGCTCCACCACTACCAGCCTACACCAGATGACAGACTATTGGACTACTTGACCTTGAACTGCACACCTCCAAACTTTACAGTGAAATAGATCATTTCAATCTCTTTACAGATTAAAGTCATGAAAACTTGACACTGAATATTTTTTATAAATATGCATATATTTTAAACATTTTATTAAAATATACTATATACTAGTAAATGTACTTAAATGCACAAATCAGTGAGATTGTTTTATAAAATGCTCATCTGCATAATCAAATCCAAATTAAGACCAGATCCTTAATGCTACCCAAGTGTCATTACCATTCACTGCTCTCCATTTGTTTTGTGTGTGAAACAAGAGTATATCATCATTTCCATGTTATGATTCAATGAAGTAATATTTATAATTATATACAAAAATGACCAGAGATAAAAATAGTTTTTATCCTCTATATATTGACTACCAAAATTAAATGAAAATGGGATCTTTTTCTTTTTGTTTCTGGCGTACTTCACTTTGCGTAATGGTCTCCAATTGCATCCAGTGGAAATATCAGAATTTCATTCTTCTTTATGGCTGAGTAATAGTCTATCATGTATATATACCATATGTTCTTTTTTAACTTTTATTTAGTGAATATAAATTTCCAAAGTACAGCTTATGGATTACAATGGCTCTTCCCACCCATAACTTCCCTCCCACCCTCAACCCTCCCCTCTCCCTCTCCTCTTCCATTAACATCAAGAATCATTTTCTTTCTTTCTTTTTTTTTTTTTTTTTTGACAGGCAGAGTGGACAGTGAGAGAGAGAAACAGAGAGAAAGGTCTTCCTTTTCTGATGGTTCACCCCGCAATGGCCACTTACGGCCAGCGCACTGCAGCCAGGACACTGTGCTGATGAGAAGCCAGAAGCCAGGTGCTTCTCCTGGTCTCCCATGGGGTGCAGGGCCCAAGCACTTGCGCCATCCTCCACTGCATTCCCAGGCCACAGCAGAGAGCTGGCCTGGAAGAGGAGCAACCGGGACAGAATCCGGCGCCCTGACTGGGACTAGAACCCGGTGTGCCACAACGCAGGTGGAGGATTAGCCTATTGAGCCAAGGTGCTGGCCTATCAAGAATCATTTTCAATTCTCTTCATATACAGAAAATCAATTTAGTATATATTAAGTAAAGATTTCAACAGTTTGCACCCACACAGAAACACAAAGTGAAAAATACTGTTTGACTACTAGTTATAGCATTAAATCACAATGTACTAATGTCTGAAAATACTAACTGATAGAACAAAAAAAAAAGGAGAGAATGATCCAACATGGGAAGCAGGATACACAGGAGACTCATAGAATGGCAGATGTCCTAAACAGCACTCTGGCCTCAGAATCAGCCCTTAAGGCATTCGGATCCAGCTGAAAAGCCCATTAGAGTATTTCAGGCATGGACAGCCAAGACACTCTGGGGGAAAAAAAAAAATAAAAACTAAATGAAAGATCTCCACGAGTGAGATCCCAGTGGAAATACAGGTCATCAAAGAAGGAGGTACCTTTCTCTGAAGGGAGGAGAGAGAACTTGCACTTTGACTATGACCTTGCCTAAATAAGATCAGAGTTGGCAAACTCGAAACGTTTCCTTAGCCTTGGCAACTCATGACAAGAGCCTAGGGTGATTACTGATGCCATATGTTCCTTAGCCAGTCATCAGTTGATGGACATCTGGGTTGGTTCCATATTTTAGCAATTGTGAAGTGAGCTGCTATAAACATGGGAGTGCAGGTAGCTTTTTCATATGCTGCTTTCACTTCGTTTAATTATATTCCCAGGAGTGGGAAAGCTGGATCATGGGGGTGATTCATTCTTATAAAATTTTATTTTTACTATACTATCTTCTATAATGGTTGTATCAGTTTACATTCCCACCAACAGCATATTAGGGTACCTTTTTAGCCACATTGCTGCCAGCATTTTTTTAATTGTATTATAGCCATTCTAACTGGGGTGAAGTGATACTTCATTGTTTTTTTTTTTTTTTTAATTTGCATTTCCCTGATGGCTGGTGAGCCTGAGCAGTTTTTTTTTTTTTTTTTTTTTTTTGTCTGTTGGCCATTTGTATTTTCTTCTTCAAAAAATGTCTGTTTATAATCTTTACCCATTTCTTAACTAGGCTATTCGTTTTGTTGTAGTTGAATTTCTTGAGCTCCTTATGCATTCTGGATATTAAGCCTTCATTGGATACATAGTTTGCAAATATTTTCTCTCATTCTCTTGGTTGCCTCCTCACTTTGTCAATTGTTTCCTTCACTGTGCAGAATCCTCTTAGCTTGATGTGACCCCATTTGTCTTTTTTTTTTTTCTGCTTTTGTTGCCTGTGCTTCTGGGGTCTTTTCTGAGAAGTCTTTGACTATGCCATTGTTTTGCAGAACTTCTCCTATATTTTTCTTCTGTAATTCAATGGCTTTGGGTCTTAGGTTTAGATCTCTGTTCCACTTTGTTGATTTTTGTATAGGGTGAAAGTTAGGGGTCTTTTTTTTTTTTTCAAATTTTTGCATGTGGAAATCCAATTTTTCCCAATACTATTTGTTGCAGAGGCTATCCTTTTTCAAGAGAGTGAGTTTAGCTGATTTGTCAAAGGTGGGTTGGTTGTAGGTATTTGGATTGATTTCTGGGATTTCTATGTCTATTTCTATTTCAGTACCAGTATTATAATACCGGTATATTAGTGAATAATCGGTGAGAACCACAGTATTATAATAGCCTGCAGCATGTCTTGAAATCTGTTATTACGATGCCTCCAGTTTTGTTTTATGTTTAAGTTTGCTTTGGCTATTTGGTACACTCTGCATTTCCGTATGAACTTTAGGATTGTATTTTTGTAGATCTGTGAGAAATAGCTTTGGTATTTGGATTGGGATTTCATTGAATCTGTAAATTACTTTGAGTGGACATTTTGATTGTATTAATTGTCCAATAGAAGAACATGAGTTTTTTTTCCCCATTTTTGGTGACTTCTATATATTTCATTCAATATTTTTTCAACATTCATTGTTTCTTTGACATCCTTGGTTAAATTT